TTTCTTCTTATAAGTGTAAAAACAAAATCAAAGACAAAGAAAAAAACAATAGAAAAGTTTTTTTTCACCAGGGTTACCTCTACACGGTGATCTTGCCAACAAAACCTCTTTCAAACAGGAAAAGATGAGCACCATTTGTGCAGACAGTCAGGTTCCTGTCTTCTCAGGATCTGAGTGGCTAATAATAAATTAACATCTTTTCAATTTAGATAAAATCAAATATTTTGTCTTTGTTAGTCCTTTTGTCTTCATACTGATCCTCTTCATTCTTCTTCAATGGTCATATTTTGTTTTAAACCCCCTGTTCCAATTAGTTTGGGATTTTATCTCCATCTTCTGCTGCTTATCCAAATTCGGGTCGCATAGGCAACAGGTCCAGGAGAGAAACCCAGACATCCATCTCCTCAGCAACACTTTCCATCTCATCCTGGGGGACCTCAAAATGTTCCCAGGCCAGAGAGGATACATGGGATGTTGTGTAAAACATACGTAAAAACTGAAYATTGTGATTTGCAAATCATTTTCAACCAATATCCAACTAAATACACTATAAATCAAGACATTTATTGCTCAAACATTTACATTTTATTGTTTTTTTTGTTTGTTTTTTGCAAGTATTCACTCATTTGTAATTTGATTCCTGCAACGTGTTCAAAACAGGCTGAGACAGGGGCAACAAAAGACTGGGAAAGTTGAGGAATACTAAAAAAAAACACCTGTTTGGAACATTCTACAGGTTAATTGGAAACAGTTGAGTGTCACGGTTGGGTATGAAGGGAGCATCCTTGAAAGGCTCAGTCATTCGAATGCAAGGAAAGGGTGAAATTCACTACTTTGCGAACAACTGAGTGAGTAAATAGTTCAACAGTTTAAGAACGTTTCTCAAAGTACAAATGCAAGGAATTTAGAGATTTCATCATCTACAGTCCACAATATCATCAAAAGATTCAGAGAATCTGCAAATAAGCAGCAAGGCTGAAAACCAACAATGAATGCCTGTGACCTTTGATCCCTCAGGCATCACTGCATAAAAACAACATCATTCTGCCCATGATCTCAGTGAACACAGTTCATCTCTTTGTCTACAAGTGAATGTTAAAGCTCTATCAAGCAAAGCCAAAGACGTATCATCAACACCCAGAAACACTGCCAGCTTCTCTGAACATGAGCTCATCTGAGATGGACTGAACCAAAGTGGAAAATTTCAAAWTGTTTTTGGAAATCATAGACATCCTGTCCTATGGACCAAAGAGGAAAATGACTCTTCAGATTGTCATCAGCGCAAAGTTCAAAATCCAGCCTCTCTGATGGTATGGAGGTGTGTTAGTGCCCATAAAATGGATATCTGTCACATCTGTAAAGGCACCAATAATACTGAAAGGTACAGGCRGGTTTTGGAGCAACATATGCTGCCATCCAAGCCACATCTTTTTCAGGGACATCCTGCTGATTTCAGCAAGACAACGTCAAGCCACATTCTGCTCGTGTTAGTGTCACAGCCTATTGCAGTGTTTTTGAATATTTTTATTTAAGTTTGGCTTGTAGTGGGTTTGCTTATAGTGTGATTTTTGTGGGAGTTTTTTTTCCACATTTTACTGTGTTTAGGTTTGAGCATGTTTTTATTTTTATTTTTTCAGTTTAATCACTTAAATTATCATTGTCACCTGCTGTGAACTGCTCCTTCCCCCTGAACTTAATGACTGTTGGACTCTCATTGGGTGGGAAGATGAGTCCCGTGCCTTTGGATAAGGTGTGCATCAAGACAGAGGATACACCCCACTGCTCAGCTCCTCCACAGGCAGCCGGCCCATCTATTGACTCTGCAGTGATGAGTGTGATCTTTGGTTCTACRCTCACAATTGTCCTGCTAAAGACAATTACACGGGAGGATCAGACAAGCAGAYGCAGACTGCTCCAATTCTGGATTCACTGGCTTGGAAATCTAGCAGCTGATCTTCACTACAGGCAGATGGGACAAGTGCTTCCTGCTGGGGGTGTGTYGTGATCTTCTTCTGCTGGTGTGGGGACAAACCTTTAAATGGACAATGCATGATGGACTGAGCTGTAGGGATTGAGAACTGGGACTGTTTTTTTTAACTTGTGGTCTACAGTCTTCACTGAGATTGTTTGGAACAAAAGTTAACCTAAATTKGTGCAAAAAGCATCTTGAAGCTGCCACATTACAACAGCATGGCTTCATAGTAAGAGTGCAGGGAAAGGCTTGCCTGCAGTTCAGACCGTGGCACATTATGAAGTACAAAATCAGACAATGGAGACCCCGGACTGTTGAGCGACTTAAGTTGTACATCAAGCAAGAATGGGAAAGAATTCCACCTACAAAGCTAAAACTGTTTTGGAGGAAGTCTTTAGGGGCTAAATCTGGTCTCACACCTCATGCTGGGGTCTGAATATGAACTCTCTGAGTCAGAGACTTCAACAAGGGGAGCAAACCTGTTTTGTAGTAAAATTCCTGGGTTTTCCACTGGTTAGCTCTTATTGGTTCTTTTGGTAACAATACGCAGCTGATTCCTGTTTGGTCCCRGGGTAGTAAGTCTCCCTCCTCCAGGCTCATTCAACAAAATGCAAAGTTCTTCCTGTCAACCATCTTGTTGATACAGTAACAGATTTATCCTTTGGCTTTGCCCAAGAGAGTACCAGGGAGAACTGTTGATTGCTTTACTTCCCTTTTTATCTGCAATATTCTGTATATATTTCAACACAGACCTTTCACTGTTTTTGGTCAATGATGCTACACCACTCCTTACTTTAGGTAAAATGTTTTCTCTCACAACTTCCACTGAAGATTATAAATAAACATTGACAGAACATTCTCAGCACTTTTATCTCATTTTATCTTGGGATTTATGTTTGCTCAAAATATCCATTGACTRTAATTGTTGTTTCTCATCAGGTTTTGAGGTGATTAGGGTTGAAGCCTTGGATGCTGATGAGCCAGGTACTGAAAACTCAGATTTACGGTACCGTATACTGAGCCAGGAGCCTGAGTTTCCCAGTCGCTCTATGTTTGCCATCAACCCTGTAACTGGAGTCATCACAGTAAATGATGGAAGACTGCTCAAAGAGGTGAGGCCTGTTTTAATCTGTTTTATTTGGTCTGAAGTGATGAGTTTTAAACAAACTGTTTTCTCATCAAGTTTATGAAGAATTGTGTTACAAAGTAAAATAAAGCCTAAAACCTTATAATTTCACAGTTTGTCCAGAGTTGGCAGCATCTGCAGCAGGCCGCCCTCTMGTGGGTGGAGGAGGAGGGAGAAAAYTTAGCATTTCCTYAWATGTAAAATAAGGAAGGTTTGTGTAGTTTTTGGACAATCAGCTCCAAATGTATGCAAATAAGTTAAGTCAGCATGATGCTGGTGATTATGGTCAACCCCACAAAGCTGTCCGGAAATCTTTACTGCAAGTACTCAGTGACTTTTAGCTGATTTTAACTGGGCAATCGTGACAACCCTGCTACGATTTTTTAAACTGTATCTACTCAAACGATGTCTGTTTTTATTCATCGACTCATTTTTTCACACCTAAATTTCTTTTCAGGTCTACCAAATATTGTAAATACCTACAGAATTCTGTCTTATCCAGATGGTTCTGAACTGTCAACATCTATTTATTGTGACTATAGTTTGCTTTTGTTTTCCTTATTTTCTTTTTGATCAATGCAAATGCTTTGTCAGTTACTATGTGACGTGTGCTGATGACCACTTGACCAGGTCACCCTTGTAAAAGAGATCTCGATCTCAACGGGCTCTACCTGGTTAAATWAAGGTGATTGACGATGTCAAAAAGGAACAGAAACATAAATGGTCTTTGCAGGGTCTTGTGGAGGTCTTAAAGGGTGTTGATRAGAGGGTGTGGTGTCAGTGATGGGTGTTTTATTAGGGAATACAGACACATTTTTTCCAAAATTGGGTGGTGTTTACCCCCTTGGTTACTAGGATTTCTGCATATAGGGAGGGCACAGGGGCCCTGTGATGGACTTGCGACCTGTCCAGGGTGTACCCCGCCCCTCGCACTGTGACTGCTGGATATGGGCACCAGTGACCCACGCAACCCTGGAAAGGAAGAAGCGTGTACAGAAAATGGATGGATGGATGGATGGGAGGGCACAGGAGAGTATCTTTGAGACTCAGAAAATACCAAACCTATTTGGTGSKTACTAAAAGCGTGTAACCTCATCCTGATCATCTGAACTAAAGGAGGTTTTCCAAATCTGCTGMAGTTCTAAGAGGTCATGGTGAACACAGTGAGTTTATTATTTCATGATCATTTTAGCATGAATATTGAACCTATCACAGTKTTCTGGTGTCAGTCTGAACATGTGATCAACATTCAACTGATGGGGATGGGACTAATTTAATAATCAGGGAATAAAACACAAATGCAAGTCATTTTTAAAAAAAATTATTCGTAAAAATYTTGAAAGTGTTTACATTATTAATCATTTCTTGATGAGCCTCTTGTGACAGCAATAAACCCATGTCTCTCACAGAAACACCCACAGTGCACGCTGACAGTTGTGGCAGCAGATCTTCAGGGAGATGGACTGAGCGCAACCACAAAAGCTGTCATCACTGTAACCAGCAGCAGTGTTCCCACCACCTCTCCTTGTGTAAGTATATCATGAAAACTATGTATTTCATCTGTCCATATCATGAAGCATTTTGYTTTATAAATTTATGGGGGAAAAAACCCCATCAAACACTACAATAGAAAAATAATGTTACTTCTTGTCTTCACATTTTCCACACTTGTGTCAAAGACTGTTCAAACTCAATTTTAGATCGTTTCCCAGTACAGAATTACATCATATTCATACATCTAAATAAAGTATGGATGTATGAATGAATGCCAGAGTAATAAAAGAAAACCCACACATGCACAGGGAGAAAATCCAAACTCCATGCAGAAAAGCACCAGCCAAATATTAAACCTGCAACATTCTTACTGCAAGACTGTGTCAAAAATATGAAATCTAAAAAATCGTAATTCATAACCAACTATATATTATAATTAAGAGCTTCCAAATATCTAACCYTTTTTTAATTTTACATTAATCAGAAATACTCTGTAGATATCTCAAAAAACAAACCTCAGGCTATAAAGGGATGTAGTGTACAGGGTTATCTTTTTATGAGATGGTCTGTTTTGATAAATTGTCTGTGATCCACAGATTTCTGGCTCAAAGATCATCTTTGTTAATCCTGAATTTAGTGTTGCAGAGAATAACAGAGGGCCCTTTCCTATGAAGATAGCTCAAGTAAGTGAATTATATTTTAAGATAGAGAATTTGGTTTTGTCTATTTTTATAAACAAATTTCARTACTGTGTTAATAGTAGAAACTGAAGCTATTTGCAGTTATTTCCATCTTAGAAATTGATTTAGATTTACATACATCATGTCATGGCAGTTGTTTGGCATCATTGCTGTCAGGGAAATATATCTTACTTCTAGTGTGTTTTTTCAGATTCKCTCTGTTGAGGACACAGTGCAGAAGATCTTTTACAGCATCACAGGTCCAGGAGCTGATCAGCATCCTGTTGGACTTTTCACTGTGCACAGGGACTCTGGTACTCTGTACATCACACAATCACTGGACAGAGAGACACGAGACAAGTACATTGTAAGCGTGTTCTCTTCATGAACTCTAAATAAGAAAAATGTCTTAATATTCATAGTAGTTAATCCCTCATACACGAGGGTGGGGTTTACCCATTAATGGTAGGTGAAACTTCAGTATGCAGCAGAACAATTAATATTATCCTTTACCTTTTAAGTGTGTTTATTTTGCTGCATTGAAACATAAATTTTAAACTTACCAATGATTTGAAATCAGACACCCCCCCCCCCCCCCAAAAAAAAAAAAACAGGGAGGGGGGGTATTTTTTTGGGCTGGGGCGCATCATTGGCAGGCCAGATGGAAGTCACCATATGAATAGCCCTGTTCTATGTAGTATTTTGTGCATAGAAACAGCGTTTAACATGTCCGCTTATAAACATTAAAGTACTGCGTGTACAACTGACTAAAAATGAAATAAATAATACAGAAATACTATTAACAGTAAAAGTAAGAGTTTTATGCACTGTTGAGTTGTGGAGAGTATTTGCCGTCACGAATTCTGAATTCTTCCATGTTCCAACATGGATTTCTCACTGGAGGTCCGTTCCAGGTTAAATTTACAACTTGTAAATGGGAAATTCCCATTTCCCAKTACAAGTGGGCTGTAGCAAAAGTAGCTGACTAAAATGCAACTAAATGCAGATTTGCTGGCTGCTGGCTACATTTGAAACCTGTGCAGCTYCACCTAGTGGTGAGATGTTGTTGCAGGTAAAATAATCAACATACATTAAAGAATATGTATTTATGTCAATGCTGGCTTTGAACAGCTTATTTTGAGACATTAATTCAGTGCTTTTTAACTAAATTACTCAGAGGACCACAGTTGCCTAAAGCCAACATCTCAGGAGTCGGACAAGTATTAYTATTTCACCTTTTAAATYAGTCAATTTTCTTCCTCGGAATTATAAGTTATAAGTTTAAAAATGGTTTAAAATATATTTTAGATTAAATAATTTTTATAAAGGACTTATTTGTGGGAGGGCAGGGCGGGAGGCTGCCCACAATGAGTTTGACACATGTGGCATAGAATAACCATGCATACGTTGGTGGTGCTGAGACTGCTTGATCAGTACAACTAGTCAGTCAAAAGTTCACTCAATGCCCAGTTGTCCCGTTAACTTTCACCTGTTCCCAGTTGTTGTTATGCCAGGTGTTTCCAAACCATTCATCAGACCCTGGCCATATAATCACTGTTTTCTTTATATCACCAGTAGAACATTGTTGAGCTAGGGAGGGATGCTGGTTCGAGAGAGGAGAGGCCATCATTAAACAGGTGGAKGTCTATGTGTCCAAWTGTCCCCCTCTTACAATGCTGYTATTGTGAGAATCTCAGTCCTCTGTGAACAACAAACTATCATCAGATCGCTAACGATCGGTTGTTAGGCTGATGGTCCTCTTTTGCRTATGAACAAAAAGTTTTGGGTGTCACAGACAAACTGGTTGATTCACTATGCAAAGATGCTGCTTGTGTGCCTGCAACTTTTCAGACTGAAGAGGTCTTATGCATAAAAGACTAGTAAATGTTTCTACAAAGACGAACCTGTCCAGAGGACCTGACTCGACCTTGTTAGATTTTGTGGGAGACAATTTGTAAAATAAAACCATGTTTGTCTTTGTGCAGGTGAAGGCACATGCTGTGGCAGAAGGTGAAGGAAACGTAGATGAGCATTTAGATTTCGTAATCAAAGTAATTGACCAGAATGACAACAAACCTGTTTTTAATAAAAACGTCTACATGGGAGAAGTTGCCGAAACATCACAAAAAGGTATTACCAGAGCAATTTCCGTTTTTATGTTTGTAATGTAAAAATGCAACTGATTTTCCAACTTTAAGAGTACATTTTGTCTCAGTTTTCAAGGCTGTACTGAACATTYCTACGTTGCCTAAACAAATTCAGTGTGTGGATTTTTGTTTTAATTTTACCAACTTTCCACATAAGTGAAGGAAATTTTGTGACTGATAACTAAATTTTAGATACAGTCTTATATTTTACACTTTGTGTACTGTATTTATCAAGAAAACTACCTTGTTAAACAAGAACCCTTCCTTGTAAACATTTGATAATGATCTTGTTATAACGTGTTGTAATTTTATAGTATGTCATGACTTCCACAGACRTTTGATTGCCTTGATGAAATATAGCACAATGGAGAAAATGACCCATGGGATTCATTGTTACAAAGATTTGTTATGAAAGCAAAAAAAGAACCAAGCGTGTTTTTGGGTTTGTACTCAGACCTGGTCCAGCATCACACAGCACTACAGCTGGAAGCACTCTGGATCTGTATTAGATGCTTTTATTTAAAAACAGTTGTCAAAATATAAATTATCCCATATAAATTACTTAAGAACAAAAATGTCAAAATCTATTGCAGTACTGTATAAAGTTAAGGACTTATTTAATTATAAAGCACTATAATGCAATAATTGTTCCACATTTGATTTATTGTATAAAAGTCTGGGGAAATGCATGTAAAACAATTACTAATCCTATTTTTATTTACAAAAAAGGGCCATAAGAGTTATCACAAGAAAGCATTACTATCACCCATCTAATATATTGTTTCATCAATTAAAATTATTAAAAATTTATTAGTTGGTTGAATATCATATTCTGCAAGTTATGTTTAAAGTTCATAAAAATGTGTTACCTTCAAACATCCAATCAAACTTTGTTAGGAGAGAAAGTGCTATAATTTGAAGGGACTACAAATGTTTGTTAAACCGAAAATCGGAACAAATTTGAAGGACAGATGCACCTCAGAAAAAATTATGACTATGGATTAATGATTATAAAAGCATTAGATCAATTAATTTCTTTAAAAAAAATGATCAAAACAAAATCGTTACAGAAATATGAAATTGTTTAATTTGCATGAGTTACTGTTTGAGGAGTTAATTTTTTTGTTTTGTTTTATTATTGTTTGAAATTAATATATTTTTTTGTAAATAGGAGCAGACATAAGATCTTTTTCTTCTTCTGCTGCCTTTCATTTTATTTGATTTGTATTGTTTTGTTGAATGTAATGTTTTTTGTTTTGTTTTTTAAAATGAAATTAATAAATACTAAATACAAAAAAATTGCAACATGTTATAATGAGATGGTTATCTCGTTTTTAAGATGTTTCTTGTTATGAAAATGTTTACACAGCTCAAACATGAATTTGATGCCATGTGACAGCTCCATACATCTGCAACTTTTTTTTTCAACTTTGACTAAACTAGACACTTCCAACCGTGAATATTGTAATTTGTTTCATGAAATAAGCTAACTTTTTGTAAATATCTTGTGTGATCTCCTCGTGTAGAGCAGCTGCCCCTCCTCACAGAGAGTAGTTAGCTGAGGTGGGGCGAACCAGATCAGGACCACTCTTTATTTTTACTTATGAAGTTCATTTCTTTAGGTATGGAGGTGATTCAGGTTGAGGCTTCTGATGCTGATGAGACAAGTACCGACAACTCAGACATCCGGTACCGCATCCTGAGCCAGGATCCTCAGGAACCTGATCCATTCATGTTTGCTATYGACCCRATAACTGGAGTCATCACAGTCAACACTGACAGACTGAACAGAGAGGTGAAACTACTAAAAACCATCCCCTACCTGCCTAAACAAATATATTCAGAGCCTTAGACAATGTTCTGYAGTCTAAAACCAACAGAGGTGTAAAACTACATATACTGATGTGTTCTTGTTAAATCATCTTCATCCTGTCCTCCAACAGAAACACTCTCTGTACATTCTGGTGGTAGAAGCAGCAGACATGGGCGGAGAAGGTTTAAGTAGTCAAACCAGGGTCGTTCTCACAGTGACGGCAAACAGCCAGCCCTCTGTACGTACAGCACAAACTGTTTAAATAATAAAAAGTTCAACATTTTCTCCATAMACCCTGCTCTATGACTGACGTTACAGCTGAGAAGGTGTCAGTTTTATAGAACATCACCTCAGTAATGACCTGACTATCACTTAAACATATCAAAGACCTGACTCAGCATCATCTATTTTGATTGGAACAACTTCAGCTGATAAATTTTGTGTTTGTTCAAGGCTGGTGGAGGCCAAAGGACCAGAAGAGATGTCCAGCCTGATCCCATAAGGATCCCCACTCCTTGGAGGGAAAGGCCAAGAGCTGCCAGGAAAGTAAGTCAAGTAAAAGAAATGTGAAACTTAGAACCACATTTTAAACTGGTTTGTTRTATTTTCTGACTTATGTTCAGACAGCGTGTAGCTCAAGCTCATGTTGAAGCTTGACTTTATGATCTCTGTAGCGTTAGCTCCAGACCCACAATGGTAGGAGGATTTATAGAACAGTGTTTGCATCGACACAGATTTTCACATGGCTGTCATTTAAACTGATAATATTAATAAACTTAAATTTGTGAAGAAATGTTGAAAGGCGTCAGAGCTCCTTCTCAAAATTTAAATATCCATTTTTTCCCCACACCGCCAATTAATAATTTGGGATTCATTTTTCTAAGATTCTAAGCTGTATAAAAAGTCTCACTGGTGTTACCGTGTAACTTTTTTGGTGCCTCTTAGTAGCATCAGGTTCTTCAAAGGCTTCAAGACTTCATCCACCCATTTCTAGTGGATGTAAGCAGGCAGGTATAGTTTCAATAATTTTTCAATAAAGTTAAACAAAAACCAAAATGGACAAATGTAACAAACAAGGACACACATATGGTGTAGGATCTGATAAAGTGGGAGAAAATAACTAGTTTACAGTGCGTTTGCTGGCRGGGGTGATCAGTAAGTGAGAACAGGTATATTAATACCTGATGAAACGCATTTGAGGTGCTGAGCAACCAGAAGAGTTGAAGGATAAAATCAGCAAGAAGTGTGAAAAAAATGAACTAGAAACATTATTTAAGTACAGATACAGTATCAGTCCAGAAACCAGCACAAATTACAAAAATAATGAAAAACAACAGAGAGAGAAAGAAAACAAAAAATGAGTGGGTTTTGATATATAAGCGAAAACCAACTGATCAACAAGATCTCGTTTCAACAAAAGTTGCAATACTGGTTTACCCTGCTACCAAAAGTCAAACCCWTTTTTTTTTGATTGAGCTACATATTTTGATGTTTTAAGTTGAGAGAAAGGCATGCACTTCCAAAGTCGTGTTGAAAATAGGTCACATAGTAAAGARAGTTACAGTAATCAGCAATTTACTGACCGTGATTTCTTTGGCTGCCCTTAATTGATCCACAGATGAGGAGCAACTGGTTTCCTCCACTGGGTGTTGTTGAGAATCATAAAGGACCCTTTCCTCGATGGATTACAAAAGTAAGAATATTTACATTCTCCTGTGACAGAAAGTGTCATAACTTCTCCTACACTGTACATTTTCTTTGCTTAAAGTGTGTTTAGATTGAGATTACAGATATTTACAATACCCTTAAAGCTATAATTATTGTTTTATACTCAAACAAAAATAATGTTTCTTAGGACAAACTCCTTTTTAGAAAAGGGTGTAATCACAATCAAATCAAAAGATAAGACAAGTCATCACAATTTAATACTGTAAGGTTCGGCAGAATGACCCAGAGTGCAGGCAGGATCCAAAGTACAAAATAAAGAGTTTATTTAGCTGACACTGCAGCAGAACTTACTGAAACACTAGGAACACGCAGGACACCTCACTGGCCGAGGGAAACAGCACAATTAACCGACAAACACTGAAGACAGGACACAGAATATAAAGGCAAACTAATTAGGGCAACAAGACACACCTGGAGCAGACACAGGTGTGAGAGGGCAGGGCAGAGAAACACAGGGGAACACTGAAAACTCTAGAAAACTAAGGAAAATAAACACAAACCATGACAAATACCAGAATTTGTAATGTGGTTTCCAAAAAATGTTTCTACAAACATTAATTCAAAGTGTGTTGGTGTTATATTACAAATATTGTTGGTATCACTGTGGTTTGAGTCCTGTTGTGATTTATTTAACAGTGGACTTGCAAGTGCCAGGTCAACATCAGTGGTCCAGGAGTTGATCAACCTCCTGTTGGCCTTTTCATGATGGATAAAAATGTTCTCTACGTCACACAGCCACTCGACAGAGAGGAAAGAGAAGATTACATGGTAAGTAGGTCTCCACTGGGAGAAATAAACAAACAAAATAGTAATCAAATAGAAGGTATCCATGATGCAGTTTTCATGATGGATGACAAAAATTTGAGCCATCTGATCTGTCATATCATGCCAGTAATGAGATTCAGAACACAATTAAAGTTAATACAATACTTTTCAATAAATCATGTTAAAGTGGGCCTATTATGCAAAACTTTTTTCATGTTTTTAAACTTATTTTTGGGTCTCTACTGCTTAGAGAAGCAGTCCAAACACCAAAATAAATAAATAAAATAAAATAAAAAATAAATAAAAAATAAAAAATGCACCCAGCCGTTTTTTTAAGCTGTAATTACATGTATTTTTAGGTATCTGGAAACATGGTATTTCTCAAAGCACRTTATTCTGACGTCACAATAACAGTCATCTAGCAACCTGCACTAAAGCCCTTTATAATGTCATTTGACCAATGAATAGAATGATTAAGAAGAAATACAGGGTTTCTAAAAATGATGACAGGAGATTATAATTTAGTAACCTGGGCCCGTATTTATAAAACTTCTTAGAGTGGATTTTTAGATTTAAGTGCTGAAAATTTCTAAGATTTGCTCCTACTCTCAGACTTAAGTGTAAGTGCCAGTTATCAAAATTCTTAAGTCTAAGAATCACTCTTCATTTTAGAAGGGTTCACAGAAAGACTTTACTAGCAACTGCCTTAATTATTGATGCAATGCCGAATCAGTAGATAGTCAATTCAAACATTCTTCAACCAATAATACATGTCCAGCGCAGGGTGTGAAACTACATTTATGAGTATTTACATACATACAGTATAGTTCATGTGTTTATAAAGCATGAATAAACAATGAGTATGTTGATTTAGTAATTATCTTTTATGGGTAAAGCACTGATGTGTTAACTTATAGCTTAAGAGTTAATAATTGTTAATGATGTTTTTAAGGTTAACTAACCATTTATTAACAAATAAGTAAAGCTATTGGTATCTTATTTTTATTTTATTTTATTTTATAGCCTTGTATTTTATTCTATTTTTAATTACTATTATTATTTTTAATTCTATTATTATTGCTACTGTTGATGTCACATAGCAATATATTGTTTTGTGGATTGATGTATCTGCTGCTGCTGTTACACCTGAATTTCCCCTCTGTGGGAAGATAAAGACTGTTTCTGTTCTATTCTATTCTATTCTATTCTATTCTATTCTATTCTATTCTATTCTATTCTATTCTATTCTATTCTATTCTAAAAAGTGTAGTTATAAAGTGATACAAAAGAAATACGTCCGCATGCAGTATTCTTGTGTATTGTTATATTAATACTTTCTTTTCAGTTGCAGGTAAGTATTATGGAAGAAGGTTCTTCATACACTGTACCTACGTACATCGAAGTAATAGACATGAATGACAACAAGCCAGTTTTCAGTCAACACACCTTCTTAAGATACGTCGCTGAGGCCTCACCAAAAGGTTTGCTTTAACTTCCAAAGATTTACATATTAGACAAAGGACATATTTACTATTAACCATGATAGAGTCAAGGTGAAAATCAACTTTAGGTTTTCAGGTTTAAAATGCTGATACACTAGTTACCTGGATGATAAGAAATTATCYTGTTGAGTTGAGATTTAATGTTTTCTACATGTCATTCAGAATGTTAATTACAATCAGATATCCCAGTGTGGTTAGTAAACAAGTCTCTTGCATACCTTAAAGAATGTCTTAACCAGGGTTCCGTGCATCCGTCCATTTTCTGCCGCTCATCCGGGGTCGGGTCGCGGAGGTAGCAGCCTAAGCAGAGAGACCCAGACTTCCCTCTCTCCAGCCACTTGGGCCAGCTCCATCCATCCATCCATCCATCCATCCATCCATCCATTTTCTATACACGCTTCTTCCTTTTCAGGGTTGCGTGGGTCACTGGTGCCCATATCCAGCAGTCACAGTGCGAGGGGCAKGGTACACCCTGGACAGGTCGCAAGTCCATCACAGGGCTTGTGGGCCAGCTCGTCCAGGGGAATCCCAAGGTGTCCACAGGCCACCTGAGAAACATAGTCCCTCCAGTGTGTCCTGGGTCTTCCTCTGGGCCTCCTCCCAGTCGGACATGCCTGTAAAACCTCATCAGGGAGGTGTCCAGGAGGCATCCTAACCAGATGTCTGAGCCACCTCAACTGGCTCCTCTCTATGTGGAGGAGCAGCGGCTCTACTCTGAGTCCCACCCGAATGACTGAGCTTCTCACCCTATCTCTAAAGGAGAGCCCAAACACCCTGAGGAGTAAACTCATTTCGGCTGCTTGTATCTGTGATCTCGTTCTTTCGGTCACTACCCAAAGCTCGTGACCATAGATGAGGGTAGGAACGTAGACTGACCGGTAAATCGAGAGCTTCGCTTTCTGGCTCAGCTCCCACCTCACCACGACAGACCGRTACAKTGCTCGCGTCACTGCAGGTGCAGCACCAATCCGCCTATCGATCTCCCGCTCCATTCTTCCCTCATTTGTGAACATGAGCCAGAGATGCTTAAACTCCTCCACTTGGGACAGGACCTCCTCGCCGACCCGGAAAAGGCAACCTACCTGTTTCCGGCTCAAGACCATGGTCTTGGATTTGGAGGCACTGATCCTCATCCTGGCCGCTTCATACTCGGCTGCGAACTGCTCCAGTTATAGCTGGAGGTCATGATCTGATGAAGCCAATAGGACCACATCACCCGCAAAAAGCAGAGATGTGATCCTAACGTCACCAAAATAGATCCCCTCCACACCTTGGCTGCTCTTAGAAATTCTATCCATAAAAGTTATAAACAGAATAGGTGACAAAGGGCAACCTTGGTGGAGTTCAACTCTCACCGGAAACGAGTCCGACTTACTACTGGCAATGTGGTCCAAGCTCTGGCACCGGTCGTACAGAGACCTAACAGCCCGTATCAAAGGGCCTGGTACCCCATACTCCTGGAGAACCCCMCACAGGAGTCCCCGAGGGACACGGTCGAACGCCTTCTCCAAGTCCACAAAACACAAATAGACTGGTTGGGTGAATTCCCATGCACCCTCCAGGACCCTGCTGAGGGTGAAGAGCTGGTCCGCGCTTCCACAACCAGGAGGAAAATCACACWACTCTTCCTGAATCCAAGATTCGACTATCCGACGGACCCTCCTCTCCAGAACCCCTGAATAGACCTTACCAGGGAGGCTTAGAAGTGTGATCCCCATAGTTGGAACACACTCTGCGGTCACCCTTTTTAAACAGGGGGACCACCACCCCTGTCTGCCCATCCAGAGGAACTGCCCCTGTGATATTGTAGAGTCGCGTCAACCAACGCAACGCCACAACATGCAGAGCCTTATGAAACTCCGGGTGAATTTCATCCACCCCTGGTGCTTCGCCACCGAGGAGCTTTTTAACCACCTCAGTGACCTCAGCACTTGAGATTGGAGAGTCCAACCCAGGGTTCTCAGGCTCTGCTTCCTCGTGGGAAGACGTGTCGGTAGGATTGAGGAGGTCTTCGAAGTATTCTGCCCACCAACCCACAACATCCCGAGTTGAGGTCAGCAGCGCACCATCCCCACCATAAACAATGTTGGTGGTGAACAGCTTTTCTCCCCTGAGACGCAGGATGGTGGACCAGAATCGCCTCAAAGCCATGCAGGTCTTTTTCCATGGCCTCTTCGAACTCCTCCCAGGGGTAACCAGGGTTCACAAACAAAATCTGCAACTGGGGCAGAACTTTTCCAAGCTTACAGAAAAAGTCTTTGATTGGCCATAGTTTTGGAAGCTTTGAATCTTTCACATTCTGTTGTCACACATCAACAGCTCTTTTTTATACTCAGCTTTTCAAACAGAATATTAACTTTTTTGAGTCTTCTCTTTTTTATTGTGAATTTTTGTTTATGGTGTGGATGTCTGAGAAATTGGGAACAAAAGTGATGTGTTGTTAGGTCTGAATAAATCTCCCACTGTTGTCAGTTATCCTGGGGCCAGAGGGCCTGTTGACATGACTAAAAGTTAATGTCACAGTGTTTTGGTTTAAAATCACCAGGATGAATTCTCCCCAAAATAATTATATTCTCCCAAAACAACCCTAAATGACTAAAAACTTAGAAGAGAGTGGGACCCTAAACAAGACACCAAACCCAAAGTGAGGATAAGGCAACAAATCAAGACATTGACTCAACACACTGACCAGACCACGAAACAAAAAGGTTCCAAACTAAAATAATTTGAGGTATCAGCTTGAAAAAGGTTTTAAAAAATGGACTGTTCAAAATTGTCTCCTATTGAGTGGTAGTTGTTTGGAATATTTTGGTGCTTCTGGACCAGATAGGTCTGTTTGAAAAGCTGGACTTCAACAAAGATGGAGGACCTGAGCAGAATCTACATATTCCCTTTTTGCTTCGGTGAATGGCGTTCAGCCTTCAAATCTACTTCCTCTCCCAGAATCTTTAGCAGTAGCAAAGCTGTCTTTCTGCCCCTGAAGTCAGTCACCATCTCTCTGGTCAAAGAGGTGTTCAACAATAGGTTGCCTTCAGGCCCAGGTTGTCGTTGCAAAAGAGATCTGTGATCTCAATGGGATTTTATTGGTAAAATAAAATAAAATAAAAATGAAATGAAATGAAATGTTCAGCTGCAGTTGATCCACTAAGTTGTCCATGACTGTCCTGTTCCCCCCCTCTTGTTCTTCACTTATACATCCAGCATCTCCTGAATTATCAAAAACTTGCTGCAGGGGGGTGTAACTCAGAGTTATACTGTAAAATYTATAAAAAGCTTTGCACTCTGTTTTCAGTAACATTATCTTTAAAACATAAAACATGCAAGATGAGACACCTGATGATGTGTTAGATTTTTTTTATTTTGAGACTGTTATAGCTTAAGTTTGTTGTACATTTGAAGTTATTTCCTTTTTTTAACTCAATGCTTTTTCCACTCTGCASCCTTTTTATTCTGAACTTGATGCACTTGTTTTTTTCCTTTAATTATTGTACATATTTTTTTATTGAGTGAAATTAATGAATAAAAGAAAAAAATGCAAACCTATCAAAAGTTTAAAATCCCTTACAGAGCATTGCATGGCCAGCGTCCCACTTACACAGCATCAATTTACACATACGTACCTTCACCCACACTTAGATCCATAGTTCCAATCAACTACTTGTTTCTCGATCCCGACTAAAATGGCGCATTTCAGATTGTAACTCCTAAATTTTGGAACACATTACCGTAATCTCTAAGAGCTGCAGATTCAGTGGAGATTTTTAAGAAGCAGCTTAAAACTTACAGGTTTTTAACATGTTTGTATGAGTTTTCATGTTGTCTTATTGATGTTTTTATCATTTGTAAATGTATTTTTACATGCTTTTTTGTGGTTTATTGTGAAGCTTTATTGTGAAGCACATTGTGGCTACTTGGCTGAGAAACATGCTATACAMATAAAGYTACTTCCTTACTATCAAAACTTGAAGAAGTCTCTGCTTGTAATGTCTACTTCTGTTTTTCATTTCTTCAGGTTTTGAGGTGATAAGGGAGGTGACAAGCAGAGGTGACAAGCAGAAGTAATTCTCACTATCAGCTCTGTAAGTACAACACAGTCCAGATACAAAGTTTTATCAAGTTTATTACATGCTGTATTGTAAATAAATTTGTTTCTTTTTAAAATGAAAATTAAAAACAACAATAAACTTCAGTGAATTATAGTCAGTCAATGGTGAAGATGAGTTTCCTGCACTGAGGGTTGATGTGTTTGAGACCTCTCATCCTGCTGAGTGGGGGCTATAATCAGGCAGGTGAGGGAATACTTTGAGGGGAGAGCCAAGGCCTCCAAAACTGGAGCAGGATGCGGAAAACAAAAACAGGAAAAAAAAGTGTGAATAACATTAGGAATTTGTCCCAGAGAACGAGAATGAAGCAAACTGATGGAGCATGTTGGCAGAAAGCCCAGTGTTTGCAATTACCAACTTTGTTTTAGAAGAGTTAATCTTACAAAAAAAAAAAAAAAAAAAMAAAAAAAAAAACAGATGACTTAATATGAACTAGTTTGTTTTAGGACTGGGAAATTAGCTTTTTAAAGGGGTTAACTATGAACAAAATCAGGTTTAATTTGTGAGAATTCAACTTTTAGCAAGTTTATGTGAAGGGTGAATTTGCTCCACACTGCCTTTAGGGTTCTGTTAGGTGGTTTGGATATCTGGAAAGGATGTTGTTGGAAGTGTGTTGGAGAAAATACAGTATGTCTCACAGCTGCCCTAAGATCCCCTCTGTGAACAGCCAGAACTAGAACAAAGAAGAAATCATTATTATCAATGTGTTACATTTTGGCCAAAGTTTAATACCAAGGGTTATTAAGTAAGAAAATGTTGAATAATTGTTTCTGAATGACAGTCCAGTAAAGTCAAAGCTGTAGAACTTGAATCATAACCTAACTGCAGACTGAGATGTTAATGTTTTCTGATCAGTTAAATTTTRATGCTTTTTTTTTTAAATGATGGGACCAGAATGAGACTCAGTCCACCACTTCGCTGCCCACTCCAGAACTGGAGCAGTCCACAGCTTCTGACAAGACCCCCGAACACAAAGACATGTAAGGAAAACTGATGAAAAAAGAAATACTGTCCACAAAGAAGGAATAATCAATTTGTGTTCTGAGATTTTATTTTAAGAAACAAGAAAAATCATCTGATTCCAAACAGATCTAAAAATTTGTAAAAACGACTTTAGTTTAGTTTCATTATTTATGAGACCAAAGTAGAGATGTTTACCCAACATGCACTGGGTGRGTTTTGGAGAGAATTAAACACAACATATCAGCACAAACACCTTAAACTAGCTGTCGGCACAATGCTGGAGGTTGATGATCTGGGCTTGTATTGCAGCCTCAGGACCACAGGACCTCGGCTCGTTAGAGCCTCTGAGTCAACCAAAGTATTCCAGAGTTTCTGAAATTAAATATGAAATAATGTGACAGCTGACTCGTGCTGTGATGAAACGAGACAATAATCTCAAACACAGCAGCTTATCTAAAACAACAGAAAAAGAATCAAGTTGTTGAAATGGTCCRAAAAACTCAACCTGATTAAAATGTTGTTGTGAACTTTGAGAGCTGTGCACAAAATATCTACAACCTTCAAAAAGCTAAATCATGAGCTAAAACAAGCTGCTGAATGATTGTTTTTGATAAGTGTAAGATGAATAAAACGTGACAGTCAAACATAAACCAAAAATCAGCTKATCAATTTGAAGTAGCCAAGAATGCTCCTCTGTACATGATTTTTGAGTGTACAATATTGTCTAAGSGTTGTTATATGTTTATTTAAGTTTAGTGACAAGTACAGTATCAGTGGCGAGGCAGACCCAAAATACAGGCAGACGAGCAGGCTCAAGAATAAAAAAAAGTTAACAAATCAAACACCGCCGTGGCAGCAAAAAGGCAAACATCACTTGAGCTAAGGAGAAGATGGACAACACCAGACAATGAACGGACGAGGAAGGGAACCAGTAATAAAGTGACAGKGTTGAGTGAAAAGTGGAAACAGCTGAGTGATTACAGAGTGCAAACAGGTGAGAGAGAATAATCTACAAGGTACTGATAAACTGAGGASTGAGATGAAAGTGTGACACAGAAGGAACACCAGAGAGGGACACAGCACAAGACACAAAACACAAGATCCTCACATTTAGCTATTATTCYTAGTGTTAAATRAAATGCATACTGACCAAAAAGGTGWATATCAGCAGAAAAACTCATTGGTTGACCTCTCGTTAAATCCAAAATATTGTGTATTGTTACAAAAATAGTATTACTTACCTTCTCATACATAAAACTTTCTGAAAACTAAAATATATACAGTTTTATTAGATTTGTAACATATCTTAAAACTAAAACCTTAATGTTACATGGCAAGAGAAATGTAAAATAAACCAAATTTAAAATGTAAGTTCTTACTACAGTCATGAACAAATGCTTTGTGATTTATTTTTATCTCAGCAGTACTGTTCCTGTGATTGTCCTTATRGTGATGTCACAATGTTTTCTCTGTCAACCCCAAATCTAACAGAACCAGGAACCCTTCAGGCAGGTTGAAGATGGTTCTGACGGAGACAAAAACCAACAACGGAGTGTTCCTGTCAAAGAGCAGTAAATACAAAGCACTGATGGTATGATCACACCCGAACTGTTCAGCTGCCTGTTGTGTTGTGACTGACCTGATGATGTCCTGGTTTTTTGTCTCACCAGCTGATGTTCTATCTACTGCTGCTGAAACCCTGATCCTTCGGCTGGAGGATACATAAAACATCCAACAGCAGCTGCATGTTTCTGCTGAGGAGACATGAGGTGGAAGCTTGTGTGTGTGTTTGTTTTAAACATTTATATGTGATAATGTTTCATGTCTGATGAAAGTGTTGTTTTTGGTCTTTCTGGGTTTCTTAGTGGGTTTTCATTAGTCCGACCAGAGTGTGGGAGTTGCTGTTAGAGGTGTAAGATGATGATCCACAGTCAAATAAACCATTTTTTTTTGTTTCTTACATGTTGTATAAAAACAATGCTGTTGTGTGTTAAATGAAAATATTAAACTTTTATGTGGACATATTAGACAATTTTAAGATAACTAAACATAAAATTTAGACTGGTATAAAAAGTCAAAGCAAATMTTATTTTATCAAGTAAGATCAGTTGAAAATCCAAGAACAATATATCATTTAACCTTCAGCTGATAAAACAGCTGAACAATATTTGCTTTAAAGCTCACTCCACGTTGCACCACATCACTGATTAGTTAATATTTTCAAATTCAGGTTGAGTTTAATTGACTATTTAAATCTTTTTTTTCCTCTGTCAGATACACAAGACAGAAAAGTTAAGAAAAATATTGCTTAAAAGGGTTTTCACAGAGTAAACAGGAAGTTTTAAAGAAATTTGGATCAGTAAGAAAATATAATTAAGACACTGCAGCACTGTTTTTCTTCTTCTTTCAATTATTGTTATTCATTTTCTTTCAGTGTTTTGTAAAACCCTGACAGAGCAGCACAGCTCCAACATGTTTAAAATGATTTCGTATTTTATGAATCATTGAACAGATTTTAGTGACACTTTCAGTAAATAATCACTAGTTTGATGTTTATAACCGATTAATAGATTTTTTCTTCTTTCTGCACCCTTTTCATTCAGTAATTGATTTTTTTCTTTTTTAGATGGATTTTGTTGTTTTTAAAAATAAAAGAAATAAAGAAACAAATCTTTGGATTTAGCCCAACATRGGATGGCTGCTACAGCTAACTAACCGTAGCCTTCACAAAATGAGTTCACCTCTGTGGATTTTACAAATTTTGACCAAAGATTTGGCGTGGAGGCGTCATGATCTGTGTTTTTTGCTTTAGTTTTCTAGTGTTTTGTGTTCCCTTGTGTGTCTCTACCCTGCTGTCATTCCTCTAGCCCCACCCTTGCTCACCTGTTTCCTCTTGTGTCTCCCCCATATTTCTTGTTGTCCTTAATTAGTTTGCTTTATATTCTGTGTCCTGTGTTCAGTCTATGTCCGATCAACGTTTTGTGCTGTGCTGTGTTCCATGTGCCTCCTGAAGTTTTGCTTCAACAACAGCCCTCTTTTGGTTAAAACCTTTTGTTACATTTTTGGATTTTGCCTGCGCCCTGGGTTTCTCCCTGCCTGCACCTCACAGGAGGTAGCCATTCCCAACACATCCTCTGAGCTTTAAAAGACCCAGAGATTACTGAAACTGGTCAAGTTTGTCATAATATTTTAGGATGTTTTTATTTTAGCCTTCTTACATAAACTAGTGAAATGAATTCTACACCCTGATTTGTTTTAGCGCATACAGAATCAAGTTGTTTCTTGTTTTAATTCTGTGTAATTATGTATTTGGCAATAGTTGCAATGCAGCCTGTTGCTGATCTGTCTGAATCTACATGTTTTGCTGTCTGTTACATGTTTTCAACTTAAGAAGATGGGAAATAAAAATAATAATTTGTGGGTCTCTGGCAGCCCCACATCATGTGTCTTTGCCATGTTTGTTTTTAAAGGCACAGTATGTAGGATTTGTTGTTTTCAGCAACATCTAGTGGTTGAGTGGTTGAATCATCCTCCCTGGTCCTCCCCCCCCCCCCCCCCCCCCCCCC